AGTTACAATGACACAGACACGAAGGTATTTATTTGCTTTGTGTTTTCAATCGACGGGAGAACAACAAACTTTTTGTTTTTATTTTCGATTGCAGTCATGCAGTATTTGAAACGATGCATGCTGCTTAATAGGAACAGTTGACGAGATTGTAGTTGTTTTGCGTGACTGAAATTTGCAAAATGTGACCGATATTTAAGGAAACATTTTCCTATCCTATGAATCCGATATCTGATTCGAAATAAAGTATATTCTCTTGAGTTTTCAATGTAAATTTCACTCACATTTCCTAATAATGCTGACTGAGTTTATCATGGGTAAAATCTATCAAAAACGAACAAAATTGAATCCGATTTTAAGTAATATGACAATAGCGGCGACGACTAAGTTATTTTATGTAAAATTTACTTTAATTGAACAGAATGTATTGAAAATTTAACCTATCTTGGTAATTTATCAGTATATGCATACCATAGTGCTTTCGAGAAAGCCATCATTTATCTCAACTTATAAGATTGATTACATTTCACTAATTAATCAACAATTACTTATAAGCATTTCATATTCGTTCAAAAAATAATGAACTTTACATCGACATTTCAATGAAAATTTTCAAAGCTTCCTTTTCACTTATTTGTGAAAAAATTTCATAATGCAATTTTCACACTTCATATTTTGTAAAAAGAATACTCTTGAAATACCACTCTGAAATTTGTCCTTATAGTTTCTCCAATTTTTCGTGAAATTTAAAGTTTAAATTATATTAGACATTTAATTTAATTTATTTTTTATTTAACTCTTTCCTCTCTTGGACAGTAACAAAACCTTTATTCCCATACTGTCCAACATTAGACATTTGTACACAGAATTTTTAGCGTTACAAGATCTGTTTTTATTGCAAATAAAATGAAATTCATTAGAAATCGCATGACATATAAAATATCAGAGTATTCGAATTATATAGCTTTAAATCAATGAATATTCTAAAATTTCGCTATATTGAGTACAAGTGTGTAAAATTTTTCGAATAAGCCGAAACGTAGTACAGGTATTTCAATTCTCCTAGAATTATTGAATAACATGTATTTATTGTTCTTATTCCAGAAAGTTTGTATAATCCCGAAAGTAAAATTATTATATTCAACTCTGAAGTGAATTAATTTTGTATTATTTTTAATAAAGTAATGAATAGTGAAATCGCGATTTTATTTTAATGATATATACAATGTGTATTAATATGTAGAGAATTTTTAATTAAACAATTTATTGCTAATCTCTAATTGCTTGGAAGTCTAATCTCCTGTTTTCAAGATTAAACGATCGTCTATCAGTTCTTGATTACTCGAGATCCGATTTTGATTTCAAATATTAAAACTATTTAAGAAAAGAGAATTTTAAATAATCAAATATCATATAAATTGCCTTTTTTATTTCAAATAATTTTTACTATAATCTTCAGAAATTATTTATAAAGCAATCTGGGTGGATCCGTTTGGCAGTAAGGTCGATCAGTACATGTAAGGGTCGAAGAACGAAACCGTCTTGAATTATCCATGAAAATCACAAAGTTTCAGATACTCTGACCAGTAGTATGAAATTGTCATTCTTATCGACTATAAAAAACTAAGTTAAAATTAGAAATTTATATCTGATTCGATTTTTCAATTGGCTTTTGGGACATTAAATATTGAATATATTTGAGGATGGCGTTAATCCTTATTAATCTCATATTTACGATGAAAATATTCATATATATTTATTGAATTTAAATTTCAGACTTTCTAATTGTTAAATTTTTTCTTTGTTAGAAATTTTAACATCGATTGATCATTTTATTGTTATTAATATATAAAATGATATACAAAAATAAACAGTTGTAATATCAAAATGAATTTAAAAGAAGAATTACAAGTAAAATACTTCGTAAAGAGAGAAATCAGTGTTTGTCCCGAGCACTATTTTTTCACGGTACTGATGAAATTGGAATAATAAATATATGAAAAATATTTTATGATTCAAAGATACATAAAAAAAATCTTTACTGTATTGACATCGCAAAAAACAACTGTATTTAACTGTTAATTGTCCTTCGAAGTTGGTTTTTCAGTATATAAAATTGAATTTAATTGTATTTTTAATGATAAAAATTTGGCATTTCATAAATGCTTTTAAACAATATTTTTATGCATCGTTTCTTCATGTTTATGATTTAATTTTTAAATATTTTCTAATGGTATTTTATATTTATAAATTTGTTTTAAATAAATAAAAGGATTTTTCTTGTATTTTTCGGAATATTTTCAAGCGTAGCCTTAATAAATTTTCATGTACTGTTAAAAATAAGAAGCTCCTGTAAAATGATTAAAATAACACACGAAATGGCTACAAAATACTTTAATTCTTATATTGTTTTAAAAATATTTTTTAAATTTTAACTTAATACGTAATAATTTTGTTAAATTTTAATTTAAAACGTCTTAATATTCAGAAATATATTTGATAAGTTAATATAATAAAATTGCTAATAATGTCTAACTACTGTGTTTAATTGTAACGACAAATAACTTTTGAAAAAATATAATTAATAACTAGTGAAAATTATTTAAGAACATCCTATTAAGTATATATATAAAAGTATAGACTAAACAAATTCAGAAAGTAAATTACTTTTGTTATCTGTTCAATACAAGATTATTCGAATTGAAGCTTTTAATATTACTTAAGAGAAGATTGTCAATTCCGATTAAATTCCAGGCATTTGTTTAATCCAAACTAAATAAGAAATCATTATTTATTGTTTAATAATATACTTAATCTGATTTTTTAATGTTTTATAAAGGGAGGGATATATTTTTAATGTTACATTAAAATTAAGTAAAAGAGTTGAGAGCCAAAGATAGAAAAAAATATTTATTTATTTTTCGATCTTTGGTGAACTTGAGATATCATCTAGTTTACTAATAGGAAATTTTATATGGAAATTAAACAAATTTTAAACGTTATCAAGATTATTTTTAATTTTCAAGTATAAACAAAATGCCTATTTCTATAATATAAATTCATTGTTTAATCAATAGTTGTTGCAAGGATTATGATAACAGCGACTCAATTTTGAGAATCCATCAGAAAGTTTATATCAAAGTTTCAATGTCATTTATTTACTATTCACATAAATTTGTATTAAAAATCAAATCAAATCACAACAAATTTATACATCTGTTTAATATAAGTTATGCTATGTTTGCCTGCATATTGAAATTGCCTGTATGATAAATTCCAATTGAAAGCATAATTACGAACCTATTCGAATCGGAATAAGACAACAAATTTCATATATATTTCCTCTTCGATTTATTTTACTAAGAGAGAAATATATTCGTAATCAAATATATAAACTCTGTAGTTTATAGTTAATAATTTAATCGGCTTATTGTAATTTCTAAAGTGATTTAAAAGTAGTCTCATCAATTTTCTTTACTTTTCCGTATAAAATTATAAATTTTATTGAAACAATAATTTTATGTACTGTACATTTTACAATTTATTATTTAAAAATGATTTAAGTTAAGGATATTCATGTAGATTTTTTGTAGTAAATAAATACAATTTTTTTTTCTTTATAGTAACAAATAAGAAATTCCTAGCTTTAAGTTTATTATTTTTACAGTTTATAATTATTAAATATCTAGATATAAAAAAACTGTGTTAGATGACACAAAATCCTTTTGATTTATTATTATTTTTAATACAAATCTAAAATTCTCAGTAAGAATATAACCGAATGTTTTTATTTTTAATAGCAATATCACAGATCTTAATCAATCGAGACTTTTGAATAATGGCCGATTTAAAAAGATTTATTGATAATAAGTGTAATAATTTTTTTTCACTACAATAAAATGAAGCATTTTAATTTAAATTGACTAAGTAAAAAAAATCTATTCTTTATTGAATACATAAAGTTGGATTTTTTTTACTCGAGTAGTTAGCATTAAAAATCAATTAGAATATTTTTTTTATAAAGATGAAATCTTAAATTTATAATTTTTTTTTATTTCTTGCATTCGATATCATTATTTTAACTAAAAAACAACGTTTTAAAATTTATTATAATAATAAAATTAGTTTGTTTTTGTTTTTTAAATATTTTGAACGTTTGGAGATTTATCAAAAATGGTCTGTGATCGATTTTAGTATTCCATATTTTTACAGAAAAATTTTGACCTAGTGGGATTTCTTCCTGGATTATATTTAACAGGAAATGATGTCACGTAACTTTAAACTTGTTAGCCTTTAAAACTAAGCTCTAAATCTAAAAATTGATGTCGTTTTACGTTTTCAAATTAATTTTCGACAGGTTATTTTTCAGTAATAAATTTTTTATCGAATCATTATACATGAAGATTAGAATCCTCTTTCCGAAGAGAGAACAAGATGATAATCTTACAGAATTAGTCTTTATTTTCTACCAGATAAATCCCATAATATTTAAATATTTATTAATCATTAAATAAATAATAATATTCATTAAATGTGATTAAATACAAGATTAACAGCGATCGTAGAAGGTATTAGAGAATATAAAATTCGGTCTATCATAGATAATTTATCTAAAAGAATAAATTTAGAAAAAAAAATCAGTTAAAAATCACCACGATCAAAATATTCTGTCAAGTGGAACATTCCAATCTTTTGAAATTCCACAAAATCAATTTCCTATATATTTTCTCTTATGTAAAATTTAAATTTGCATAAGAACTATATTATAATATCTAATAATGTAACTCCGTTTCTCTGAATAATAATAATAATATCACATAAAAATTTTAGTATTATTATTAATAACTCGAATAATTAATATAGGTGTTATGTAACTAATAATATAGACTTTTATATTTAATTCTATTAATTTATATGTGTTAATTTTTTATATAATAAATAATTAAATGAATATGAAATATAGGATCTTTTTTAATCGATTTTTTTTTGTATTATTCTTTTAGTGAAGCTTTGGCATTTGCGGCCGAACCAGTATTAGGTAGCTTGGCAAACGTATTGGGTTGTTTAGAAGAAAGGCTTCCACAAAATCTTCCTCCTTCTGTTCGAGAATATACATTTCTCGATATAGAGATCAAATATGGATTACTCCAGGTGAGCTTTATATATATCAGATCTTTTTCCCTTGTTGCCGAATTTGCATGGCGTATTCATTTATATAATATAAATATAATAAATGCATTTGATAGATTTTTTTATAGATTTAAAAATCCGTTTGATAAAGAAAAAAGAACAAATGCATAAAGAACTTTTTCTTACGGATCAATTTTAAAGATTTTTTTTTCTCGGAACTTTATATAGATGTTTAGTTGTAATCCGATTAAATTTTCAATTGTTTTCATCGAACGATCGGAGGAAAAAAATAAATAGTTAAAATATTTTTATTGGAGTGTTAAAATGTTAAAAATTTGCATTGAATATATAGAATTTGTGTACGTAGATGAATATTTTTATTATTTTCTTTTACGTTCTACATTATTCTTAATATAACGAATAAACCATAATTGCCTCGATAAATTGTTAATTGGTTATTGGCGAACGGTAGAAGAACATAAAGAGAAACTAGACAAAGTACATCAAAGGGAAATGCGGGATATACAATGATATTTAATATCTAAGCTATAATCGTTGTATATGTTGCACGTAATTTTATCTTCCTAAACTGCTCGTTTTCTATATATATATATCGTTATTTTCCAGGATGATAATAAAATTGTGATATTTATTAATATATGTTTTATATTTATTTTTATCAAAGAAAGTTTATTTTTTATATTATAATAAATAGTAAATTCTTATTGTAAAGTTTTTTTTTTCTTCTAACGAATTAATGATGATCTTTAATGTTCGACATTGGAGAGAGACTGTCACAGAACAAAAAATTTATGATTCGCTTGGGTGTTGTTTTTCTTGTCTAACTGTAATATAAGAAGCAGAATCTTGCTTTGATAACTAACATAATTTCTAATGATATTTAGCAAATTGCATTTTCTTTTTATAATAAATATTTTTAAGTAACTTTTGTGCAAAAAAAAAATAATTATATATTAAAAAGAATATTGATGTATTTTGATTTATTAAATAATTTATATTGATTTATTCTATCTTGTGTTGAAATAAGTTAATAAATCTTAAATGGGCTCTGATCTCGTTACACTTTTGACCGGAAATCAAATTTAATTTACAATTTTAAAAAGGTATAGAACTAATATAGGCTTATATAGGGATATATTTTACTGTTTTTTTCATACTTATTGTTTATAAGATTACGTAGGATAATTTTATTTGAAGAATAATAATAATAATCTTATTTATGGACTTCTGAATTTACGTGAGAAGAAAGATAATGCATAAGTACTGTTGTGAGATTTGATTTAAATTTTTTTTTTAAAGTTTAAAAATAATATTTTAATGAATAATTAAACTTAAAAATCGATACAAATACAGACATTTTATTTAGTTTGGATTTTATATCATTACGTAAAATATGAAAAACCCAAAAACAGTATTTGATTTGTGAATAAGCGATGAAGTTAGAAATAAAAATGGATGATTTGGCTCGTACTAAACAACGAAATTTGTGAATTTTTATGCTTCTGTAACGTTGAAATACAGCTGTTAGTTTATTAATTATAACTGCGTTACAAAACAACAGCATTATAAATTTATATACATTCAAAGATAATACTTCTATCGTCGATGTATAGAAAGTATCCAAATAAAACACAAACCAAACTGTAGATTAAGAAGAGATTATAAGCTTAATAATATTTGAATATTAAATAAAGTCGCCATAAAATAAAAAAAAAGAAATGTTATAGTGATGTGGTTAATATAATTATAAAGAGAAAAAGTAAATTACACGTAGCAAAAACGAAATTGCAGCTTCCTCATTTCTTATATTAAGTTGTCGACTCCAGCTGACCTCCAATTAGCCAGAGTGTTAACTTGTGAAATATTTAGCTCTCTTTATGGCAATGGCATCTGCAGCCATTTCATCCAATCCTATACCTAATATGGTCCATTACTTACAGTTGACGTACAGTCTGGTCCTATCCGTTTCGAGTTTGATTTTTGGAAATATTCTAGAACGAAATTAATAATAACTGTGTCGTCATTAACTAGTTCCCTACTACACTTATTTAACATTCATTACTTTTGAATAATTTAGGAAACGAATGGATTGAATTCAATTGAGATCGATCGATCGCAGATGCTTTCCGATTCAATCGAGAGAACGATAGAAGATATATTAATGAAAATGCCCGGTTTTGTTGGTTTCCAGTTGGAAACAGGTGTTTTCGATTTGATAATTTCGTAAGAATATTCCTATTCATTCTAGTCGACTGAATAACTGTAATAAGAAAATTCTTATATAGTGGCTTAGAGGATTTAACGAAACTTAAATAAAAAAGAAAATATAATGTATCATTTTTAAAATTAAATATTTTATATACAGTATTATGTTTCTTAAACGAATATATTTAGTGGAAAAACTCAATTATTATGTAAGATGTTCAAGATATAGTATCTAGAAACGCGTGTCTTGTCAATATATCTCAAAGAAAACAATGTTAAATGTACGTGGATTACTCTCTGTTTTTACAGGAAATTAAGCCGGAAGTTGTTGCTATATTTATTAAATAATGAACATTTTATAAAAATAAAGGTTAATTTTCTAATTAATATGTCGCTAAGCTAAAGATCACGAGTGCATGAAACATCGCACGAATTAAATATCGCTTCTCGCAACAGTTCTGTGGAGTCTTTCTGGTCTTACTGACGACATAATCGAAATAATCCATTTACAAATAATGAAAAACATGGAAGAATTCAAAATAAATTTAGTTAATTTTGGCATAAATATTTATTTACTTGTAATCGAAACTTTTTGTTTACCATCGATCTTAATTTATTAGGGCTTTTGTTTATGTCGTTAGTGCGGAACTTTAGAATTTATCGCCTTCGTGCCAGTATTTAATTATAAAATTTTACATTAAATAAGCATTTTATATATATATATATATATATTGTNATTATTAATTAAATAACAATTTAATTAAAAATTTAATTATTATTGTAAAGTATTGGCTTGTAAACAGAGAGGGAACAAAAGAAGCGCCGACCTCGCTAATTGGACCCACGTGTGGTCCGGTGATAGACCACTTGTCAGATGGTGAACTCCTGGCCGTAAACAAGTGGGTCGGATATCGGCAGACCTAGGTGAAAGCTGTTCGCGCAAGGAAGATTTGTAATTGGTCGGAAGTTTCAGTCCAAAAATCCCTTAAATTGCGGAGCGAACGGGAGAGAAGAGAGAGAAGGGCTCGAAACTGGTAACTCGGAAGCCTCAGACACTCGGGAAGCTCGCTGAGCTTAGAGAGAGCATACTCCTCTGGTAACTACCTCAGGGACGATAAGTGCTTGAACCGGATAAACCATGCAGTAGAGTCACTCCACAGGCTGACCGAGGCCTCTCCAGAGCTTAATAGTTCCCGAAAGCCAATCTAGTACGTGAGGCACCACTCTTTGTGTATTTACTATGTTTTTCAACTTGTATACTATATATATATATATATATATATATATTGTAATTAATATTGTTTAGCTTTTTTACAGGTAAATCACAGAGCTGAGTAATAAAGAATAAATGCAAGTTATTTTGAAGCTAGGATCCGCAATCGTCGAGAAGTCGCCGAAGAGTTTAACAGGCTCCTTCCAGACTTCTCACCAATCACACACAGAGTCTAAATGGAGCCTGTTAAACTCTTCGGCGTCTTCTCGCCAATTGCTGGTTCTAGCATCAAAATAACTTGCATTCATTCCTTCTTATTCAGTGCCATGATTTACCTGTAAAAGAATAAACAAGATCAGCATAACTCCTATGGATCCAGACTTCATGGACACCCTGTATACAATATATTTAAATAAAATAAGAAAATATGCTAGAGTAGTTTGGAAGAGAAAGGCTGTAAATCGCAAAGGCCGGAAGATGATGATGATATATTTATATATAAACTACATTCTCTATAATTTAAATTTTTTGCACGCGAATTATTATTATTTGTACATTCGATCATTAAAAATATGTGCTTCATACAGAATAATCTACTATAAAATATGGATATAGATTTTCATATTTTTCAAAAATACAAAAATATGCAAAAAACACGATATTATAAAACGTCCTATTGAATATGTTTCCCAAAAGCTTTGCAATTTCTTACGAGCAACGAATAGATCATCAGGTATTTGATCCGTACAAAAATATTCGCGTGAATAACGTTAAATCACAATGAAATGAATACAGTATATCAAAATAAATTAAATACATTTGAATTATTTATTTCGTCTTCTTTTCCACCTTGCTAAAAACATCATTTTTTAATTAATTACAAATTAATTATTAACGAGTAAATGATGCTCTTTTCTTGAAAATGAGATTTTGGAGAAAAAATTAGTTCTCATCTCAAATTCGGAAGTAAATGAAAGTGCTTGAAAATGTAAGAATGATTTAATATATTTTCTCTCAGACTAAGAAATATAATGGTAAATTATAACAGAACAAGATAAAAATAATTAAAGTACTTTTTAAGCTTGATAAGTTATAAAAATCAGTGATGCTGCACTGGGCCAACATATTTTGGATCTTGACATAAGTGAAATTATGTAAAGAGTTTGAAACATAGAAAGACACTTTCTTCTAAGTTAAAAAAATGATATAAAATCTTTAAAAGCTTTTAAAATTTCATACTTTTAGCGACCTTTTTTTTCGTAGAAACGTTCTTTCCATTTCGAGTAAACTATTTTCGAATATTCAGTATATTTACGCTTTTTTCATCAACAATTTCAAAATAAATAAACAAATAAATAATAATAACTTAAATAATTTAAAAGTAGTTAAGGTCACTCGGAATGGAGCCAAAATTAAAATTACGGATAAGTAAATTATTCTGAGATATTCTCCTAAATATTCTCTAAGTTAGGGGAGATCGGGGCAACTTCGGTAAGCGGGGCAAGTTTGTCAAGCGCTTTTTTTAAAAAACAAATTAAAAGGAGACTTTGGTTATAGGTTAGGCAGTTGAGTTTTATTAGTGGCTTGTTGATTGTAGTGTTTTTATTGTTCTCTAACAAGCGTAGTTGAATTATCAAGCAAATTTTCATTTTCGTTGAATTCCATATAATATTTCTTTTTCCATTTATATTGAATTGGCAGGTTTTGTTATAATTCCATGATAACGAAAGTTACTTTTCCTGTTAGAAGGGTGTAACTTCAACTTATTCACGTGGCCAGATCGTGGCTTGGCATTCTGTTCTCAGGGTTGTACTTAATGTTTCGAAATCATGACTAGCGGGGTAAGATCGGCAACATAAAGCCACATTAGAAGCAAAGGATAAAAATCAAACAGATGATAAATGAAAACATGTTTGCATTTGTTATTCATGTATATATGTCTTTGAACTTGCATTTCGTTGTAATAATATTAAATGGGTGTTGGATTTGTATTTCTTTGTTTTAATAGTGAATTCCAACTTATACATTGTTAATAACATAATTTTATATACGTGCCTATCTTGCCCCATTACTGTTGCCCCTATACCAGGGGCAACTTTAATAAAAATAATTAAAATAATTACAACTTTACAAAAAGAGAGAAGTTGCCGATCTTGCCCCTATACCCGGGGCAACTTCGTCAATTTCTCTCTTCTTGTAAAGTTGTAATTATTTTAATTATTTTTATTTCCAAACTGATTTTAACCAGTTCTATAGTAAGGTAACATTCCAATAGACAATATGCAAAGCTTTTTTTTCAGTTTACAGCAGTATTTATTACACAAAATTTAAGTAAAGCTTAACATGCCGATCTTGCCCCGATCTCCCCTAATTCTCCAGTTAAAAATCTTATTCTCCAAATGAAAACTGAAGGAAATATTCGAATTTTAGAATTAAATTGTGCATTTTGTTTCATAAATACTTTCAATTAATTACTAAAATCAACATTCGTTTTTTTTCTTTTTTTTAGAAAGGTTACTTCTAGAAATATTATTTCCGTTTAATTTCCCAATTAATATACAAAAATTAATTAAAAGACAAATAATTAAAAAACATTTTGGATTTCCTAAGAAGGTGCTCGCTTCTGATAAAATCGAATTTTTGTTTTTAATAAAATACAAACAGAGTAATGTTATCATCATTACATGCCGATCAATAAAATTTCACACTGCACGGGTGTTAAATTAAATCTCAGTTAAATTAGAGAAATTCTGAAAAGAATAAACTATGCTGGAAAATAATGCTCGTATTCCTGACGTTATTTCCTAGTACATTTTACACTTTTGTGAGGCGTGACGTTAAAATACGATGTGATAGCGAAGAGCTTCATACAGAGAAACATTTCATCACTACGTGTCTGTTGAATAGCACGTTCCAGACCTTCACAAAACGAGTATTTGGACAGACAACTTGTGCAAAATTATAAGTTTCTGTACGAATAAAGGAACAAAAGTTGGATTAACCTAGATTGTTTTTTGATAAGTTACATTGAATTTCTAAGAATCTGCTTGTAATTATGCTAATGTTTACTATTGTTAAATCATTAAAAGTAATATTGCTTTATTCTAAGGCATCTTCATTTACTAAAATAGCTTTAACAATGGGCGAAGACAGACAATTAGCTTGTTTTTCTTCCGAATACCAATTACATTTCTGTTATTTATATGACACTATTGCCTCCAGACAAAAACAATTATCAAAGAACTTACAAATAATTACACTGAAATGAAAACCGAAAGTAAAAATATATTACAAAAGAGAAGCACTTTTCTAATATTTATGAAAGATTGAGGCAATAGATTTTTACCGAAAGAGAAAAAAGAATGATGATGTCAATGTAATTAATAGACTAAAAACAAGTTGTATTACGATGAATGTGGCAAGAAAAACGAAAATCTCGAAGAGGACGTTAACTTGGATCGTAATGAATTGTATCGATGTGATATAATATTAATATACTGTAATTAACGATTACAGTTCAAGACAGTGTGCTCTTGATATATGATTTTATCAACAATTGTTTATAATTGATAAGAGAGATAACTTATTATTGTAGATTCTATAAATTCTCACTGTCTGTCCTTCCTTAATCTCGAGAACGGCTTTAGATAGATGAAAGTTCAGACATGATATGGGGCAGGAGGCCCTGATTATATACGAACTTCCGGTCTAGACCGGTAGTCACGTGATTTCAATTCAAAAATTTTTTTTTCAGAACGGAGTTATTGGTATGATTATGTTGTTATTAGGAAAAGTATGATGTACAGGGGCAAGACACATATAAACTACATTCTCTATAATTTAAATTTTTTGCACGCGAATTATTATTATTTGTACATTCGATCATTAAAAATATGTGCTTCATACAGAATAATCTACTATAAAATATGGATATAGATTTTCATATTTTTCAAAAATACAAAAATATGCAAAAAACACGATATTATAAAACGTCCTATTGAATATGTTTCCCAAAAGCTTTGCAATTTCTTACGAGCAACGAATAGATCATCAGGTATTTGATCCGTACAAAAATATTCGCGTGAATAACGTTAAATCACAATGAAATGAATACAGTATATCAAAATAAATTAAATACATTTGAATTATTTATTTCGTCTTCTTTTCCACCTTGCTAAAAACATCATTTTTTAATTAATTACAAATTAATTATTAACGAGTAAATGATGCTCTTTTCTTGAAAATGAGATTTTGGAGAAAAAATTAGTTCTCATCTCAAATTCGGAAGTAAATGAAAGTGCTTGAAAATGTAAGAATGATTTANGAGGAGAAATACGTCTCTGATGAGAATTTATGTCAAAGTAACTATTATCTTAATCTTTTATAAGTAAATTGACAGTTTAATTAGTAGTCGTATGTCTTGCAAATTTCTAAAAAATAAAATAATAATATTTAATGTATTTTTTTCTCATTGTTCGCTATCTGATATAAAAACACTTCGACCTTTATAACGTCTATTTGGCACTAAACTTGTCAAATTTATTTTAAAAAATATATATTCTTTTATTCAATCGCCTTCTCGTTGACACTTTTTAATGAGGGTTTCCTATATTACAAAGAAAATAAAAATATAAATTATTAATATAAATGGGCGAAAAAGATGTAGTAGATACGTTTCACAAGAACTAAATTAGTATTATTTTATAGGATATTAATTATAGTTAGAGTATATCTCGATAACGATACAACTAGAAGTATTATTGTAAGCATTCTTTGTAAATATTTAATGGAATTAAATGTTTATCGGGGTCACGTTCACTTTTAATATATTTACACTGAACACGGCTATAAAGTCGAAATGCTATTTTTGTTATCGATCTGTTATACTCTGATGATACAAAATCGAACATTTCCTAATTTATAAATGGAAAAATAAATCCAGTTAACAACTGTTGATGAAATTCTTAAAGTAGATCTTCTGTTACATTTAAATTTATCGTTATTTTAAATAAGACCGAGACTGCATTAGTTAAATACGTCCATTAACTTATCAGAGCGGAAAAATATAAATTAATTGAATGAATTTAAACTGGGATAATTATGAAACAATCAATATCATAACGTTTACAATTAAATTTAATATAATTTATAAATTAAAATGAAAACAAATTTGAAGTATTCGCATGTAAACTGTTTATATATATAGCCTATATATTTTTAATAATTTGTATTAGTAAGTCACGTAGGTCGTTGCGGACAGACGGACGAGAACTATTGGGACGTAAGTAATATTGGCGCCACCATTCTTTTGTTTTCATTGAATTTTCCGTAGTTTAATTATCTAATCATTCCACAAATATTTGAGATATTTGCCGGTATATAATATATATTTTTTTAATATCGAAATAAATATCTGCTTAATTTATAAATTCCATAAGTTATATATAAGTTTTTCCATTAAATATATGGGGGAAAATCCCTTTGTTTCGAGTGTGTTGCTGTGAACGCAATTTTTGATTGTTAGACTCGTATAAAACTATTTATTTGAGAGTTGTTGGGAAAAAAATCTTGCTTTAAAATATACGATAGGTACCGTTTAATCGATAAAATAGACACTCAACTAGCTGAGATCTTAATCGATTTCGAAGTTAAATTATCTGAACCTATCAAATCTGTGGTGCATTTTATCAGTTCTTTTGTTGATGTAGTCTTCAATACGTGCGGCCGAATTTTTGAAAATAGAACTTTTCTTGGTTATTTGAAGACCTCTGTCAATAGTTCTTCGAGAGAAGCAGAATTTTTCGTAGTACGAATCCGATAAAGAATCAAATCCATTGGATTTTAGGTAAGACCGGATCTGGCATCGATCTAGACGGCCACTCGCTTATCCAGAAATGGAGTTGGAGACGTTCAAATATATCATTGTTTACTGCCGACGTGAAATTAACCATTTCGAAATTGTTCCTTGCAGATACGATATTAAACATTTTGATTCTGGAATTGTCAACGTTAATTACGTATGCGAAATTGATCGGCTTCGAATCTGCAAATCGTTATTGTTTAATTTCGTGTTGTCTGCGACAATTCAAAATTAAACAGCGACAATTCATCGTAATCGAAATGGGTTCTTTCTAATTACGAAGCACATTTTGAAACAATGAAATTCGATGGTTTCGATTAAGTTGATAATTATTGAAAGAAATCCTGAAAAATTCCTACTTTTCATTACAGATTACGGAAGCCTTGTCGTTTCTTCACTATTCTTGTAAACTTATTCACAGAAATATATGCCCCCAGTCTATTTTAATCAATAAAAGAGGAACATGGAAACTCGCGGGTCTCGAGTTTACAGAAAAATGCCACGAATTTGATCTTATGGTAAGTTAACTACAGTTAAGAAAATTATCTACCGTAGATATTTAATCGTCCATCTACTTTCAGGGTTTAGTACCGTGCCAACCTTTTACATCAAAGTTACCAAAGATGGGACAACCCGATCTGGATTATACTGCTCCAGAGATTCAATCGTCTTCTTCGTGTTCACCTTTAAGTGACATGTTTTCACTAGGCTTATTAATCTGTGCTATATTCAATAGTGGACATTCATTATTAGAATCGAATCTAAGCACGGCTTTATACTGCAGACAATTAGAAACGGTAAGAACTTGTTTTAAAGAGTAATAGAAATATTTTTGTCTATAAATTTTCGTGTGGCGATATTTTCTTCGGTTTATTTTTCTTAGAAACCACTGACAAACGCTTTAACAAGATAAAGGTTGAAAGTATCCAATTACTTGTTGTTACGATTGAGATTCTTTTTCTTTAGTAGGATATTTCGCCAATTTCTGGCAATCTGTAATAGGAACTTGGCAATGATTACTTCGCCTGGGAAAATATAAATAAAAATTTAACGATCGTAAATCTTATCACTGTGAAATCGTTTAACCCATTCTTTTTTTTTACTTAGCTGGAAACGAATTTGGACGAAATTTTGGATAGAATGACTCACTATCTCCACGATCCTTTACAGAATTTATTACAAACGGATCCAAAAATGAGATTAAGCGCACAGAATTTCTCAATGGTAAGTGGCTTTAAATGATTAAAAACTGTACTTAATTATATTACAAATAGATTAATAATCGAGGTTTATCAAAACTGTCGTCGAAATGCCAAATTCCTTAAGGTATTATTAGCTTATTAATAATAAATGCTAACGGTTAGCAGTATATTTACACAAACAATTAAATTGTTATATCTGTGACGAAAATTACTCACGTTCACGCCATTTATTGTTCTCTTTAAAAGCTTTGAAACTAGGCTTAAATTAGACATGAAGGATCAAATATTAAAGTTATAAACATTAGAATTTGTTTAGATGGAGTTTATAAACATTAGAATTTGTTTAGTCGGAGTTTATATATTATATACTGTAAATTATAGATGAATAGACCTAAAAAATGAAGATTAAACTTTACATTAAAAGCAAGATTGAACGTTTTTAAGATATAATATGACGAATAATGTTAAAAAGAAGGCAAAGACCTGAAATTTTACTTTGGTATGAGAATTATTAAATGAATTAGCACGTTGGCTTTCTATCAATGAAAACTTCGATTTATAAATTTAAAATTTCTATAATATAGTTTATGAAATGTAGAATTCGTAATTATTATCATGACTTTAACTTGAAATATTAATTAAATTATCAAATCAAATAATAAAAACAATTATTATCTCGTGCAAACATTGAATGAGTTATCACTACAATATATCAAAACATTAAATGAGATTATCACAAAGTGACAACTCATTCAATATCCTGAATTGTTATAGAATGAAATATACTATTATATTTCATTCTATAACAATTTTCAGTGCTAAAGTATTGCATATTTTACAACAATGTGATTACGAACAATCGGATCTGTGAATAAATCAAAATACTAGCATAGAAATCTAAATAGCTGATGATAAAGAAAATTAAAATTTTAACACAACGTGCATATTCAATTAGCTTATTTCAAACTTTTCCGGATGTTTATTTTTTAAAATAATAAGTAATTAACAAAAATTTTTATTGCTACCGTTATCTGATTAGTAGTTAAATTAAACTTTATAATGATAGATCTAATTATTTACGTAAATTTGTTGCGTATTTGCTTTGCAATACTTTATTACTTTTTTTGAATATCTAGGCCTATACTTTTTACAGAGAATTGATGATAATATATTGAAAATAAAAGATAGTTTATAAGTTTGTACAGAACGGTTTTAACCTATGGAAACAAACTTCAGGAGTGATCCTATTAACTCATGTCTAGAAATGTCCTGGTGCTCAGATAGATGAACACCACTAGCATCGTGAACTGCATACACAGGATATAACGTTTCACAACCGTGTCGTATACATAAAATACCTCAGGCAGAATCAAAGTACACGTTCAAAGTATCCTCCATGAATCTCAATACAAGTGGTCACACATTTTTTCATGATATAGACTAACCATGATACAACTGGGCCATCCCCCGACCATTCCCATTCACTTTTCTGTACGTGAATATCATGCCTCTTTCTGATAGTCGGAATAAAGGATCATTCTCACAGCATTGTATCATGCTTGCACCTTAAATCTGTTCACGAAACAGACAGCATTCTGCATACTCCCTCTTTCATTACTATAATTGATGCATAACAGATCTGATATTATTGCTCAGTGGTGTCATCCATGTCTGGTTCATTTTTGGATATATGTAAATAGGACCATTTTTGTTCTTTTTCCTTCCAGAATTTACTATTGAAATTTGTTCTCATATTTTGGAACCACCGTATATAATTATTTCTTATATGACCCTTTTATCTTGCATCATTAGAACGTAGAAGCTTCCTTCCAATCATTCTTTTAAAAGTTTCGTGATTTATTTTAAATATGAGCTATATTTTACTTCTTCTCACTTACAGGAGTTATGAAATATTATATTCTACAAATCTAAAAGATTCGACGTAAACTGTACTATTTTATGTGAAGGAATTGTTTTGTAAAGAAAGATTTCGTTTTGCTAATGTAACACATCAGCATATTACGGCCTATAACGCTGGTTACAGTTTGCTGTTTAGGGAAGAACACTCGACAATAAAGTGCTTAAACTTGTTATCTAGTGTATTTATAAAATTCTTTTCTTAGAATAGACTTATTCTCTATAAATAATTTTAAATAATTTAATTTTAATTTAATTAAAAAGTTAACATAAGCTAAAAGTACAGTAAGACTATGAAAAAAAAAGATGAAAAATGTTTACATATTAATAACATAATCGACACAATTTTTTCTAGACGTTTTCATTATTGCAATTTCAGCCTTTAAGTTGCTTAAGAATTTTTTAATGGTACATTTAAATTTTCGTTATGAATTTAATTTTTTTAAAATCGTATTTGTGTTAATTATATATATATTTTTTAAAAATTAGTTTCTGCTAAACTTATATAGTTTAAATCTGTATAAAATAAGCTGAAACACTCGGTATAAAACAGAACAATTGTCTTAATTTGCGCCAATCTCTGTTTACTCACTCTCTTCGACTCCTCATAAATCTGTATGTGTTTACGTTAGTATTTATATAATATGGACTTTTAAATTTACTAAAAGTTTATTAAAAGCACCATTTTAACTTTTTTCATCGTTTTATTTTCGTTTCAAATTTGCATATTGCTCTTAATGCAAGAGTAATGCGCCGTTATAAACCGAGGAATATACTTCTAGTAATTCACTCGAGAAGTAATTTAATTATCAACGAGTTATTCACTAAAAAAATTTACAAAATTCAGAGTTTATGATAAATTTAATAAATGAATTTCACAGTTTATCAAAACTATAAAATGCTCCAAATAGAATTTTTCTAACAATGGAAACCTCAAATTAATAATATTGCATATCGAGCAAATAATATTATTTCTTTAGGGGAAAAAATATTAAAAATTATTATTATTTCTAATTTAGTAAATAAATTTATATTAAATTCGCAACGAAATTAAATAGAAAATTCAATATGAAAAAATTATTTCCAGTTTTTAATATATTTATAAATAATACTCGTATTTAATTATATTCTTTATAAATAAAAGATTTAATCAATGAATTTATTATTGATATTCTATAAAGAACATTAAAAATAAATTATATTTCCAATTTCAAAGTAAATAATAAGTATTAAACATGATATTTATCATGTTTAATACTTATTATTTACTTTGAATTAATTAAATCAATCAATTATTTTGATCAATTAAATCAATTAAAATTATTTTAATTGCACTTCTTTCGAATTAATAGTAAAAAATCATGTCTCTTCCCATAAAATTAATAATATCTTTTTAATATATACTGTAACAATTGACCGCATCTTAACGATATAGTCAAAAATTTTATGAAGTATATTAAAATATTTTAAATTAGAAAATATCGTGTTTAGTCTTAAACTTTTTTTTAGTTTACAAAAAATGCAGTATTAAACATAGGTTAGTTACCTTTTTTTTCAATTGCATTTAAACTAAACTCGGTTTTATACGAAAATTCGACGTTAATCGCCACTTAAGATAAGCTTTACAATTACGAGGAGNATTTTCTAATTCTAATTTATAGAAATGTTGATTCCAGTGCTTCAACGAACCTTAGTCTACTATACAGTATATCAAGTACAGTATAACACGGTAGTTACGTTCCAAAAAACGTGTTTAGTCTTAAACTTTTTTTTAGTTTACAAAAAATGCAGTATTAAACATAGGTTAGTTACCTTTTTTTTCAATTGCATTTAAACTAAACTCGGTTTTATACGAAAATTCGACGTTAATCGCCACTTAAGATAAGCTTTACAATTACGAGGAGAGCATTAAATAACATAAAAAGAGTCGTTTCTTTCGCAGAAAACAGTGATAACGGAATCACATCTGACTAATCGCAAACATTAGTCATATAGTCCTTGTCTAGTTAAAGCAGAAACGGCCCTTTATCACTCAAACATTAAATATTTATATACTTTTCCTAAATATACATTTCAATGTAATTTATCAGAGCAAGAATAGACAGATAGCCTATCGTAAGTACGGCGTTAAACTGAAATTTTCAATGCAACGTAAATAACATTCATCAAATTTATACTTTTCTAACATTTGAAAAATTTATTATCTCTTATTTAAATATAATTTTCTAAACTTTGATCGATGGTAATACTTTCTTTAATTACACTATTGATAATTATACGATCACTTAGCCTAGTTTACTAATTAATTAATCGGAATACCTTTTTTAAAAAATGATGTAACGTAAACTAAACATGATGTTATTAATCATCATCATCTTCTTCTTCTTCTTTATTATCATTATATAATAGGAAACGATAATAAAGGCGACTTAACGTCTAGATCTATACCCGATTAATGTAATAATTGAAATTTGTAAATAATAAATGCAAAAAAAAAAGGAGAAAAATTATTTTGAAATTCGGTAAAAAATAAACTTTTATCATTTAAATTTTGGATAAAAACTAGTCTTTTATCAAAGTTGAAAATCGAAATTATAGAATATATTTTCTTTTCATTAAAAACAATTTTATTGGATGTACACGCCTCGATTCTTTTCTGTTTAAACATAAATTGTTTGTCTATAGTTGGGAATGGCAATTCATTCAATAGCCCAAGGCCAAGTTTTCCATGCTTTTCACACGAGTAATGTATAATACGAAATGAAAGGAATATCCACTCTAGCAACTGAAGAAACATAAAAGTTGCCGTTTAAAATAAGAAAGTCGCTTTATTATTCTACCGTCTTTTATTTTATTAATGATGACATTAAAATATACTCAATACAAATTAAATTCGTAATTTTTTTATACTCGGAAATGAAACTCACGTACTCTTTCTGTTTATTTTTTTCTTGCGAAAGCTAATTTAACATTCTGTTAAGAAAGTAAAATCTACTACACTAAACAAATTCCATTCTCCATATAATATGGTAGTCACTTTGAATGCTAATAATAATAATAAAGATATTTTACTTAACTTTAATAAAATATATAATATTTTTTTTAATTTATGCAAAAATTTGTATGCAAATTATCTCTTCTCTTTTAAAAAGACATCTTTCCAATAACAAGAAAATGGATTGTTTCAAAGTGAAGATGAGTCGTAAATAGGACGATTTTTCACAGATATTTTTAATGTTTTATGTATTAAATTTTTAGTTATTATTATTGTAGAATGTATATGAAGAAAATATGCAAAGTAAAGTAATATTTAATATTTAATCTGAAAAGTTCCTGCGGTTCGATTTTTTAGCTGTCACCTTTCCATATGACAATGATATTAATATTGTTGAGAGGCTCTTGCAATATTTTTTGGTATAAGAAATATGTTACTCTATGAAAACTCAGGGAAATGACCATATTTCATACAAGTCATAAATATATATATATATATTTCTTTCGTTATTTTGTAGATAGATATTTTAAATTCTCTTAAATACATATATTTTTACTTTAAATCCATACTTCAACTAACTACTTCTTGAGACCAATACGTTAATGAATTTCTTTAATTTTTTTAGATTAGATATTTTATGGATCCAGCAGTTAACGCTCTTTTATACCTCGACGTTATACAAATGAAAGATTCGGGTCATAAATCGAATTTCTATCACAGTTTGGAAGGTGTACTACCAGCAATTCCCAAGGTAGGTTTTCATTCACATACAATCTCTCTGTAAACATTTTCTTCTGTTTTATTTTCCAAATGCTTAATATGTTTTTCGAGACGCATTACAAATACTATACTAGATGCTTGTGTAATTTCTTACTGAGTGCAGAACCGTGTTTGGCAAAAAGTAGCCTTTTGGGATTGGTGCATTTTGTTTTTTCTTTTTTTTTCACTAGTGAATTTTTGATTCATAGCATCGATTTGTATTTTTACACGGTTTTAGAAACTCTGGTATCAACACGTTTTACCGTCTTTACAAGCCGAACTTCAATCACCGGAAGTGTTAGCTGCCGCTTTACAACCGATACTATTTATGATAGAAGCAAGTACTCCGGAAGAAAATCAAGCCTACATTCTTCCACTTTTTCGTACTGTATTCAGTATGCCTAAATCTGTACAGGTGAAAAATACAGTTACAGTATTAATTAATTACATACGACGGTATTTTGTGCTTGTATGTTGTAACACCGAAATTTTAAAAATCGTTTTCAGGCGACAGTAACGCTATTGGAAAGATTAGACGTTATCATGAAAAAAACGCCTAAGAGTGATATTAAATCGGACGTATTACCTATGTTGTACAATGCATTCGACTCTACAACACCGCAGATACAGGTAAGAGATAATGAATAATTAACAGAAAACTTTCTTAACTTTTAATAATTATGATAATTTTCGTTTAATTTTACTTCTTAATTTTTTTCCAATTAATTTTTTAATAAAAATGATAAGAAAATTAATTTAAGTATCCAATTACTTAGACGGCGGCGCTTCAGGCTGTAGCAAATATAGCGGATTCTTTAGAGGAATCGGCCGTTAAAAAAATGGTCCTGCCCAGAACTAAACAAGTTTTCGATAACGATTCCGGTGTTAAGGTAAGATTAAAGCTTATTTGTAAGCAAAATCTAATCTAAGTAAGTCTTAATAGATTCGAGAAGACAAAAGCAAAAAAAAAAAATCGAAACGGCTTAAGAATCTCTCTGGCAAGATATTAATTTAAAAACAATTATCACCAGTAATGAGACAGGACCTTTAAGCATTTCTTTACAAAAAAAAAAAAAAATGATTTTCTTTCTTCAATTCCCCTAATTTAAAACCTAGACAAGAAATATCATTTGATAAAAGATTTTACTCGCTTGCTGTATACAGTGTCAAGTGAGTCCTAAATAAATAAAATTGCAATTAAAGTCTGAATAATAACCCCCTAAAAGATTTTGTATCGAAATTATGACATATTTCAGATATATTTTCTAATTCTAATTTATAGAAATGTTGATTCCAGTGCTTCAACGAACCTTAGTCTACTATACAGTATATCAAGTACAGGTAACCCCCCTATAACACGGTAGTTACGTTCCAAAAAATTGCCGTGTTATGCGAAACAAAGAACTAGTACGAAAAGCAGGGTTAGGTTCCAAAAATTAAAAAACATGCTACTATATTTTCATAATTAACAATGTTTTCTTTGTCATCACTAAAAGCACTATTAACCGAGAGCGTTTTATTTTTGGCAAGTTATCCTTATCCTCTGAGCATTTTTCTGCATTATTTTCAGATTCATGTTTTACCTTTTGCAAAAAGTGTATGTAACTTTAGATTGCTTGCTTCTAGTTAAAAGATCTTTATAAATTTCCTTATATGGTGCTAAGCACTTATGG